CGTCACCCTCATTGAGCGTGTCCAGCGGGCCGCTACGAGAATGGTTGCCGGCCTCAAATCCGCGTCTCGCGATGCTTGATCTCTTTCCCCTGGAGTACCGTCGCCTCCGAGGGGACCTAATTCTTACTTATGCCCTGTTTGAAAAAAGCTTGGCAAACAGGTTTTTTGCCGTTGAACCAGCAAACACCCGGCAGGGACATAGGAGGAAAATTTTCAAGCTCAGAGCACACACATTCATTAGACAAAATCTTTTCTCATTTCGGGTAGTAGGTGCGTGGAATGGCCTTCCTCCGGCGGTCATTCACGCTCCTGAACCAACCTAGTTCAAAGGATTATTAGACACTAATTTATTCGATTCCTCGCGCTGGCGAGCATACCGCCCCGCGCTTAGAACATAGCTGTGCTAGAGCATACCGCCCCGCGCTTAGAACATAAATAGCTGTGCTACACCTTTTTTTACTTGCACCCTTCAGGTGAACGACAGCCACTAACCGATCAGAACAAAAGCGACCCGGGGAACTTGGGCAATAGCCTCAATTTTGTGTATCGATCCATGAATCCCATGAAACGTATATCTGGCATGTAGATTAAAGCTCTGCACTCTCGCGATCCCAGATGGCATGGGTACCGGGCATCCGGGCATGTATGCTTTTGTAGAAAGCGAACCGTTTGCTCCTACGGGTAAACTGTATGGCTTATTCAGGCGGATGAAAAGTTAACAGTGTCAAGGGTATGCTTTTGTAGAAAGCGAACCGTTTGCTTATTCAGGCAGATGATAAGTTAACAGTGTCAAGGGCAGGTCATCAAAGATAAATTGGCAGGACCAAAGTAGGTGGCGGTGTTGTTCAGGATACAACCCCTTTCACCTACGGCCACACCGCGTTTGGCTTCTCTCTTTCTAATCCAAAATCTTTGACCCTGACTTACGCACGCACACATAACAAGGAGGGCTTTCCGAGCGCTGTTGACGGGATATCCTTCGAGACTTAATGTAGAACTTCGCTCACCTACTAGATAAGCAAGTATTTAGGTGTAAACCGCTACGCTCACCTCCTGCACTTACCTTCAACTTATCCTTCCGATTATGCTTCGGTGGTTCATTTACCCTTGAGTTTTATATATCAGGCACTGTCTGAAGAATCAGCGCAATGCCTCAAGCTATCCCCAAACTCATTCAGATCGTGCTACATCTCCTTGTAACATGGTGAGGCACTAATTTGCGCTGATGACGTTATTACATGTTTTGGTGATCCAGCGCTCTGTAGTGGACCATACACATTTTCATCCCCGGGATCAACGCGCTGTACTCTGCATGGCTCGCTTGAGGGGTATCAACAGGTCTTCCGAATCTTTCCTTTTCTATGCTTGGCTTCAACATTGCCGTCAGACTGGTCAAACTGTTTTGATGAATTTTCTACACCAACTGGTCGGTCAATTTCTTGCATGTTTTTTAGTTCGGTCTACTCCTTGGTAGAATTCAACAGCCTAGTGTGGTTTATCCCGCCGAAGCGCAGGGCTAACAAATTCTGTAGCATGCGGCGTAAAGCCACGAGAAAGTTGCGCACTCCGAACAGCAGACACGTCTAAATATGTTTCCTTTGAAACACTATGGGCTCCGGGAGTGTCTCACATACAAACATTATTTCTTTTATTCCTGACGCTGAAACCATTTACGATGTAACAACTGCAGGCTATTCAGCCTAAGGTGCACGGGTAGGGCTGGGAAGGGCCCTTTCCTTGACAATGGTTCTTACTTTAACCTCAGTACATATATTTTACTTTGACACCTCCGAAAAAGGCAAATATATCATACACTGCGAAAATTCCGGTTTGTACATGGTCCCACAAGACTGGATGATACTAAGTACCTGAAGGTCTATCATCCCCGTGGCACACCTTATTTTTGGTCACACTAGCCCGATCGGTGACAGCAGCCAGTGATCCGTTGAACTCAGTCCACGGGCTTTTGGTTCATTCTTGTACGATAACCACTCATTCGTGCCAATTCCCTTGTTATACCACTGTTTGTTGAACTGGTGAGGATGAATGTGGGCGATGCGCGTATAACCAAACACCGTACAGGTAGTAGGAGAGACTTTAAGCAACTATGTGATACGGTGTGATTCATGGTGTGCAGTGAAAAAGCCAACCAGCAACTATCACGGAAGACTGGAAATATGTAAAAAAATATTCGATCAGACAGAAAGAACTTAGCTTACAGGACCTCAGCGATCACTCGTCGAAAAACCGCGAGGTGGACATAGCAGAACATTTAGCTTGCTCCCAAACGAGACCACAAAAATCAATGTAGCTATGAAGTGAAAACCCGAAAATGGGGCTCACAAAGTGGCCTAGCCATTTCCTTCGCCTCAGAACCACGAGGGTTTTGGAACATTTCCGATCAACGCGTGCTGGCATCTGACTTACTGCGTATGTTATTAAAAGTACCATAATTACCTCTCTAGAGGGGTACATGCTCATCATGGCACACTGGTTTCTAGGCACCAGAAAGACAGACCCGGACAGCCGATACAGACGATGAAATTGGGCGGCAGATTCATTTCAAGTAACCGCCGTGGAAACTTTGAACTCCAAATTCTTACAACGCACCGATAAAAATCGACATGTGCTTATCAGCTGCTCACTGTAGTAGACGCTTCCCGCCTTTGTGGTTCATTTCTGAGTTAGCAACGGTGATATGTGGCAGTGGTGATGAGGTTTCTTTCTATTTCCCATCCACAGAATTTGGAAAGGAACTCCAAACCCTGGGAGATTTCGCCCTACGATCCTTCCAAAAATAATGCCAGATTGACTGGTAAGGATTTTTAAAATCAAGCTGAGAAGGTAAGCTACTATATATCTGGTCAACTCGACTTACTAGCATCTTCCTCTTTCAGCCTACATACCTACAAGCGGGGTAAGGCGGTACGTACAAATATTTCGCTACGTCCATCGAGCTCAGCTTGCAATGAGTCTTGGTGTTTTTATCTCGTGCAATGAAGCCAAACAGGTTTGAAGAACTCGTCACATGCAATGCATTCTTGTTTCAGGTCACGGAGTTGAAGAAATTTCTGAAGACCCATGGTGTTAAAGCGTTAGACTCCACCGAAACCCGACAAGAGAATTGGTGGGATGACTTCAGAAAGTGCATCCATCAGCTAAGCATCTGTTGGAAAGATGACAGTGTCAGCGAGAGCGGTGAGAAGAATTCCCCGTTTTGATCTTTGCAGATGTTAACGATGTTCTTACAACTGTTGCTTCCCTGGTGATTCAGCTACCGCCTACTCAGTCGGATGATGTCATCAAACTACTTTGTGAGCAATACCTAGACTTTTCCGGCGAAAATACTCGAAAGCACAGATCCAAACTATTCTCGTTTGTTGTCTCCTTTGCTTTGTCTACCTGCTATTTAGGCTGAATCTCTTGTTTCACGGGCTACGCCCTGATGATCATCTAAAATGTGTGATCTATGTCACACTAGTCTTATGTGCCAGAAAACTTGGCTTGGTCTCGCAGATCATTTATGATCCCAAAAAGGTTTGTACAGTGGAACGTACAAGCACCTTTAGGTAACCGCATGGTTGGCAAAGTGTCAGTGTTCGGTTGAAGAACTCCAAAATGTGTGGCGAATACTTTATGAAACGCATTCTGAATTGGGTGAAACGCGACGCGCTACGGAAGCGCTTGTGTATCTCTTGTCCACCTTTACAGAGGCTACTGCTGCGCAGGCCAGACAAGATGCTATCAAGTAGGATTCTTTTCTTACTTTTTCAGTTCAGATGTATCATATCGGTCATACAGGATCCCTCACTCTTGGCTCACGATCAGTTGCATACCCTAAAGCCCATACAATTTCTGGAAGGAGAACCCGTGCATGACGTGAGTCTTTCTGGTTACTGTCCACTTTCGCAGTTTTTCAAGATATTTGTTTCAGGAAACCTTTCCACATTCAAAACTTTTTTGAACAGCCACCCCGATTTTCTCATCCAAAATGGGCTTGACGAAAATGCTTGTCTACATAAACTTCGCCTACTGACGCTGATGCAACTTTCAGAGAATCAGACTGAACTGAGTTATGACGCTGCCGCTAGGGAATTGGAATTGCCTCTGGACGAACTTGAGCCGTTCATCATTGAGGGTGAGTACTCGTCGTTTTGTGATGCTACTACACATTGTAATCAACTTCGACCCTCGTGCTTACACATTAGTTGGTCGATGTGGCGGATAGATTTATTCACTTCGGAAATTGTGTACCTTCCAGTAAACCCGCTAGAGGCGAGGTCATGTATCACGCCTGGAAGGCCAGGATGGCCTTTGCCAACCTGCGCAGTATGTACTGCAGTGTTGCGCTCCGTACCGCCTTTTAAATCAGTAATGCGGCCCACATGCGAAAAGATACTTAACCATCGGCACCTCTGAGATTTGCCAACCTGCGCAGTATGTACTGCAGTATTGCGCTCCGTACCGCCTTTTGAAGCAGTAATGCGGTCCACATGCGAAAAGATACTTAACCATCGCACCTCTGAGCCGTTGGCTTGGTTTAGTAGGAACGTCGCATCAGCAATTCTGAGCTGACATTCACCGTCTCCGTGCGTCTCGATTCTAGTCGAAGGGGACCACTCAATTTGCCTACTATCAACGCCACCACTTGTGATGTATGAAGAGTTTTCCTTATTCTCACGCGGCGTTTGTGGGCAGCTACTATCTTCTGCTGCCGATGCTGACTCTGCCGTTGTTACCATACAGGACATTGAGCGGCACGTGTAGGTGGCAGTGTTTTGCTTTAACTGATTAGCGTGACTACTACTGCCCGGATTAAGGAGCCGGGGTAGGACGGAAAGACTTTGCCTGTTTCCCTGAAACGTAAAGTTAGCCTCGATACTTGTCAGTTAATATAAGTGAAATCCTGGACTGAAATGTGACGTTGTCTGGCTAATTTAACCAGATTCTGGGCTGTTTGGATGTCATCAACACGTTGACTTGCATCCTAAATTTCCGTCGCCCAAAATTGCGTCCGACTCCGAAACTGTTGACTGTGTCTGTACTCCCTTCTCAGTCATGGGACTGATAACATTTCTTTGCGTTGTGAACTTTTTTGGGAACAAAGCCGCGGATCCTCCATTGGGGTAGAGGTGGCTTCTCTGGATATGAGAAATCCAATAAAACTCATGGTCTCTTGTGAGGAGTGGTCTCTATGGTTGTATTACTGAATCGCCTTCCCTGTTTAGTCGAAGTTTTGTGTCTGATTTTTCTACCCTGGACTTCTGGTGCATGACCCCGGCGATGCTGCGTTGACCCTCAGTCCACTATTTACCCAATTTTCCCATCTTAGTCGTCTTCAGTGACCTTATCTTACACTATCAGCGTTCAAATACTGTGGCAACCAGAAGCAGTTGTTTGTGGTTAAACTGGGAGAAACTGAACTGGAAAAAACTGCCAAATCAGTTTGTTCTCCTTGTCGTTTACGCCACTGTGAATTAGTGACCGAAAATGGTGGCAACATTTTAATTACTGCATCCGCGCTCCTCATGGTTAGAGTCGGTTGGTGTAAGGGAAGTTTTCCGAAAGGGATCACTGAGGGAGGAGATGCGTAACATTTTATAGGCATACAATACAGGAAAGTTTGGTAAGCAGTCAAATTTTTTACTGCATACTATTTCAGTGTGGTGAGATAGAATACTCCATATTTTAGTTTACTCCATTGGTTACATATGACGCAAGTAGCTGGCTCTAGGTAATGAGCTTGATTCGAAAACAGCATGCGTGTTGCTGTTAGTGTTAGTGATAATGGCGGATACGCTCCACGGCTGAATGCTCCGCTTGCAGTTTTATGACGTGTTTGCGTGTTGTAGCGAACGATTGGAATATAAGGTAGCGCAGTCTCGACAATGGCTGGTTTTTGGCCACAATCAGTGATACTAGCGAAAGGAATAGATCCCTTCGCCTCGAAGTCATTTATTAGCAAACACCAACTAAGCAGTTACAAACTATTGGACAGGAAATTAAACGTCTCAAATGCACCTATCTTTTGAAAACGGAACATTCTTACGCTTTTTGAACTTTTATGGATATCCGTTGACGGACGCTGCAAAGCAGTTCCACAAGTTCCGTAATGAACCTCACCTTCCACCGGACGCGGGGCGGAGCTTCGATGGAAACTACGGTCTACTCGCATGCCTCGTCAGTAGTATCCGCCGTTACACTAGTATATGTAACAGCTGGTTTGTCAACTCAGAAGCACGATGTTTGATAGGTTCTCTTTCGCCGCATGGCCATCGAGGTACAGTTGATCCTGTTTCCATCATTGACTGTGACTTTTCCCGAGTACTCTGTGGGTCGTATCGTATGTGGCGGAACGGGGCTGTTAATAATCAAACCCGAGGCAACTGCATCGCTTTCGGTGGACTCTTCCGATTTCTTATGAAAAGCGCGTTTAGGGCACGGTACAGTCTTTCCCCCTCCATTTAGTGCTAGGCGCTTGTCACATGCTTTATTTCGCATTGCAGCCGCATTTGCACAGTAGGCCTGTGCTTTTTGAACTAGTTTTGCAGCTATTGATTCAGCGGCTGATTTTTCATGTTAGTTTTCTGAGAAACAGCATTTCCGAGTCCTACGTTTTCACCCTAGGTATACCGTGCTGCTTGAGAAAATGCGCGAATAAAACCCTAATTTCGTCACCCTAGTCGCCAGGTAATCAGTGTGTTCTGATTAGACACAACTGTCTTTAACCATATGTACCATTCATCGACAGTCCGGTACAACTTTCACCCTTTTGGGTCTCATTAGATGGGCACAGTTTTCCTTTGTACTAGGTTAGCAAACTTGAAACTCATTTCCAAATTAAGATTAGAATTCAAAGGGGATGCTAGCCGTACTACCCATCTAGCCGCATAATGATGATGACAGACTCGAGGCATACGATATAAAGTCGCTCTTATGGGGGTTTTTCCCTAAAGGGGTTATCTGTGTTTCACACCCAGGTCAAATCTAGACATTCCAGGACCACATGCGTCGCGGGACCTTTGGACGGTCGTGGACAGCCCATCTTGTTCTTTTCTAACTTGTTTTGGCTCGCCCAAGGCTGACTAGTTGTGGGATCTGGGTGGCTTAGGATCCTACAGAACTGTTGGAGCTATCGGTCTTCCGCAGTTCGTACGCCGTGGATACCGAGCAGAAGGAACAAACGGATGAGGGTGGCAAATGTGTTGATAACTGGTTCTAGATGGCTCATCTGGTTAGAGCACGAATTTACTGACCGGAAGGTCCGTGGTTCGAACCCGACCTGCATGTCCCGACTCCCTCTGTTTAGGCTTGGACAATCTGACAGTATCCCAGCCCCCATGCTTCCTTCGGGTGGCATGACAGCTATGCACCGAGAGAGTGTTGCAGCTGAAAAAGTAGAGTAGTGATAACTAGTTTCATGGACAGATGCTTTTATAAGTGGGATGCACAATCGACAATAACGCAGCCGCTTGGAGCATAGAATGGGGTAGTGAGTCCGCAAGACTTTCTGGAGGCAATAAAAAGTAATTAACAATTGATATGCAAACGTACGGATGCTGGCAGTCAGTGGGAATAAGCAGTATACTGAGATAACGGCGCAGAAAGCAATCAGTACTTGAATTATTTCCAAATCAAAAAGGAACAGAAACTATCCGGAAAACATGTATTGGGTGGATTCAGCACAAACTAAGTATACTTGCGGTCTTTAGCCAACAGCGTGACAACGTAGCATCTACTACGTACCAAACTCGAAATACACGAATAGGCTCATTTAAAACAACATCCAAAAAACTGTTAAGTGAGATGCATTACAAAAATAGGGCTTTCGGGTAAGTTGGCGCAGTGAATAGTGCACGTGTCTGCCATGCTAGGGGCCCCAGTTCGGTCCCCGAACACTCCAAATTGCAAGCGACAAAATCTCGACATTAGTAACTTGTACTGCTTCAAATTTCTTTGCCTGCCCCTGAAACCTCTTGTCAAAATGCTCCCTGAATGTTCGCTAACGGACATTGAGTATGCGGACGATATTACCCTCATTGGTACACATCCTTCAAAAATGCGAACCATTTTAAAAAAACGTAAATAACTCTGCCGCACGGCTTGGCAAACCCAAACCTGATGCTTAAAGACGAGTCAGTCGACGTGGTGGATAACTTTGTTTATCTGGGTAGTAATATAAGTTCCGGTGAACAAATTGGAGACTAAATTACTTCTCTGGTCGGGAAAGCCAAGGTAGCTTTTGCCAACCTCCGACATCTATGGTACCGAAGCGATTTCAGTTTGTCCGTCAATGACAGTTTACAATGCAGCAGTTCTATCCATACTGCTGTACAGATCGGAGACACGGTCTCTACGCGTAGAGGACGTACGAAAGATGTCTGTGTCTGACCATCGGTTCCTCCGAAGCATTGATCGGATCCGGTGCGAACATCGGACTTGTAGTGTTGAGGCACACCGGACGGTCTTAGGAAGAAGGAACTCTCTCGCCGGCCGGCCACAAACTCAAATCGACCACATTGCCATCAGTTACCGATGGCGCGGATCCATAACTGACTGCCGGTCGTTTTGGAACGCATTTGTGGACTCTGACCACGCGCTCGTCCGGAGTCGCTTCACCCTACGTTTCCCGGGGTCGCGTAAGGTGCGGACAAATTTCATGGCAACTGAAACACTGGCAGGTCCGGATGTCAGACGAACTTACATGAATCGTCTTCTACAGTCTTCCAAATGCCCCACCATCAGATGTGAACTCATACTGGGACGAGATTGCCACCTGTTTGCATAATGCTGGGAATTTTGCCTGTGGCACGACCCAAACAGCCGCACTCAAGCACTGGATATCAGACCGAACGGTGGCACTACTTAAATCTCGAAGAAATATCCCAGCCGGT